ATTGCTTTTGGCCCAGCTGATAGGGCGGCGCGACAAATAAGGGCGCTGTTTTAGCTTTGGCAGGCGCGGCCGCAAATGTGTGGACAGCGGTGATCAAATTAAAATCGAGCCTAGGAGCGGCGAGGTTCCAGATCCAGTCAGATAATCGGGGGGGGAAAGGGTTGTGCTTGGTTTGGTGCGTCTGGTTGAGAAACGTGATGAGCCCGTTCGTTTGGGATATGTTTTCGCTGGGGCGCAACGCTGCGGGATGGCAGAGGTTTCTCACTGCTGTTTGCAAGAAGCAAAGAAAGGAGCGAGAGGGATAGGGTTGAAAAAGCAGAGCAGAGTTGAGTAGAAGAAGAAGAGTAGTGTGAGAGGTTGAGTGTGTATGAATGTGTGTGTATGGCGGTTCCGTGTGGGTGGAATGAGGACCGGGGGCCAATTCTCTTTGGGGGGACACAGAGAGATAGATAGGCCTTGTCGCTCAAGTAGAAAGGAGGGGATGGTCCACAGAGTACAGCGAGGTAGGACTGCGTAGGGCAGCGGTTCAGAACGTGCAAAAGGAGGGACAAGCAGCAAAGTTGGACAAGAGTCTGACGGACGGGGGGGGGGGGGGGGAGGGGTGCCAGAGAGAATGAGGCAGAGGAGGAAGAGGGGACCACGGTCAGAGAGGGCAGAGAGCGTGAGAGCAAAAAAAAAAGGCTGTGTCCTCAGGTCCTGGCCATATCCAGGTAAAGGGTACGTACAGTTGGTCGCCGCGGTGCATACGGAGAGATTAAGGTACGGATGGATAGGATGGGTCGCGAATAAAGGGGCATGGATCACTTAGGGCCAGCAGATGGACAGGCACAAGGCACATGGCACGGACACCGAGTGAGCGATCAACGAGCATCGGTATCTGTACCTTATTGCCCTCCATTGCCGCCATCTGCCAGGCTTGTTGCGGGTGCGATGAGAGACAGCCAGAGTTCACTCGACTGCCACACTGCGTACCTAGGCAACCTAAGGTATTCATATGGATACGTACTCAGACTCGTAATTGAACAGGTAGACTGGCCGTAGGTGCAGCGGAGAGGTTGCACAAAACGGTGGGATTGGCTTTATTGGAGGGTCAAGGTTGGATGAGCAAAGTGGATGGATGGAAAGGATGGATGGGGGTGTGATGCGTGACCACTGATGGCTCGTGGGAACGAGAGCAGAGCGGCCGGTCTGCCTGAACGTGAAAGTTGGACCTGATCCGGGACGATGAGGACGGGGGAGTCCCTGGTTCTGTTCGGTACGTATTCCTTCCTAGGTAAGTGGGATGAAGGTGAGGTATCCGTACGTAATGGGTATTATTGAATAGTCTTGAAGAGGAAGACGCGAAAAGCGCGTTGAGTGCCATAAGAGATTGATGTGCGCGAACAGACTGCTAAATTCATAAGCGCGAGCTACGTGTGTCCGAGTGAGAGTTGATGAGAGTGAGAGTGAGTTTGTGGTGTGGTACGTGTACCTACCGATACGTATGAGAGTGGGATGAAATGTGAGCATGAACGACTGCCTCCAACAACCTACTATGTAAGCCTACGTATCGTATGAGAGTGACAGAGAGCCAGTCGGTACTTAAGAAGGTACATACACTCGCTCACCACCACCACCTTGGGATGAGGGAGGAGATGGGGTCGCTAAGAATGGAGGGTGGGGAACGGACCCCTTGCCTCGTGCGCGCGATGCGGAGCGGTTCCTGGCTTCAGGCGAAGTGGGCGAGCGGGCAGAAACTACCTAAGGTAGATACGTACCGGAGTACATGGTTGTTTAAGGCAAAGACACCTAGGAAAGCGCGACATCCCAGAGTACAAACGGGCACTCAGTCGCCGGCGACCTACCAACTCCAGTAAGGTAGCAGGGAAATCATCAAAGCCCAATGGAGCCTCGCCGAGTCCGCCAGCGGGCGTACCAACCGAACCAAGCGATAATGGAAGTTACAACTTTTGCTCTGCTGCCCAACTAGCAACGCGCAACATGCAACGGGCGACGGGTCCAGCAGGACACAACCTACCTTAGACTCCCTACCTAGAGAGTTCTCGGAATTGCCAGTTTGATTACACGTCTGTATCATGACATCAAGACGTTTGGAGATCACAGCGGTCTTCTGAACAGGAGAAAGGAGGCTACCCAGGCTCAGGGGGAAAGGTTACAAGATGCGAAGCAGTACGGAGGGTGAGTATTTATCGCTGCTTGTCTGGAGAAAGGATAGGTACAAGTGGCAATCTGTCAGAGTTCATGTAAGTCGCTTCGAAAATCCAAATCTGGAGCAATTGTCTCTTGTGGTGAGACTGGATACTACGGGCGTGTAACGTGGGCATATTGCAGTGTTTCTCATGCCCGCCCATCTTCTGCTAACTGGAAATTCAACAAAACAAATCTCCATGGGTCGGTTGATCAGGAACTTGACAATGGAGGTATCTGTATTATCCGTACGGATACATGATACATGATACACGATACAGAAAATAAAGGACCATCACCTCCCGAAGCAGATGTGAACAAGAACGCGACCCCACCAACAAGAACCTTGGAAACAGACAGAAAAAAAATCAAAGTGTGGGATGGGACGACGATGACTGGTCCCGCGACTCCCGCTTCGCTGTAACGCCAGAAATCTGTTTGAGAATTCTGCAGGGGTTCCATCGCTTCCTTCTCTCCTCCAAAGATGGTTGCCGCACCTGCACCTGCCTGCGCCTGCGCGCACTTGCGTGAGCCGTGAGCCTTCCCTTCCCAAGCACCCAAGTTCAGTTCAATCCTTGGGCTGACGATGGAAGTGGCGGGGGTCATCCCACAGTCACCCCTTCCTCGACCTGTCCTCAACTCACCTTGACACCTTCCGTGATATCAAGTAGAGGTACGTATCCTCACGATTTCTAACCTGGAAGTTGAGGATGAAATGCACCTGCCTACCTTTTACCACATATCTTCCTCACCAGATAGAACTGCGGTTAGGTATATCGCAGCGTAGGTAGGTAGCCGTAGAGCGTTCGCCGCAGTACGTACCGAAGTTCACCTCTGTCTAGCATCTACAGATTACGCTCAAATGTCGTTTTGGACTTTCGTCCTCGAGCAAGATACCGCAGTGATGAAATACCGACGCTACAAATCATCGATCATGTACGTACTCGCCCCATTTGAGACTGCTCGCCTCTTGCCGCTACACACCAATCCCCGTCGCCTCGGACTCTTGGCCATCGGGTCAGATATCTACACACCACTTCGAACCCCAAGGTCCACGAAGATTCGCCCTTACACGTTTACACCTTCGAATTTGCGTGAGCTGCCACAGCTGCGGGAGTTCCAGGCAGCCTGGATATCCCATTCGCTTGGGTTCGCTCCATCCAGCTCAGTTGAGCTCGAAATCTCCTTCACAAGCCGCTCGAGACCTGACTAGTCATTCGTTGTCAATCGTCTATTCAATTGGTCGCGCATCATCTCTAACGAACAGACTATCCCGTGCGCGCTGCTTCCCATCAGACTCGCCGAGCTGTGCCGACTCTACCAGCTTGCCTCATCGTGCGTCCAGTCTCGATGCAAATGCAGGAACAAATTGGGCCGAATATGACTGCAGATGCCTGCAACTGCAACTTCCTATCTTTGGGTTGGAAAAGGGGTGAACAAGCCCTGTCTACGGACCACGTCGAGGTACCGTTTCGCTCGATTCCAAAGCGAGGGACCGCCTACCTTGCCTTGCATCCCCTGTGATACTTTGCCTTACAGCTCAACTTACCTAGCCGCCGGGTGGACTGGGGAAACCTACGTACAAGAAGAAGAATCGGGTTCCAGAAACCTAACGAACCCTCACCAGACACCGTCTCCATCTCTGGTAGTGTCAGGATCATCCACCAACGCTGGCTGCATTGTTGGTGGCGGCACCTGCAACATATTCTCACATAGTCATCCTAGACATGCGGAACGGACTGGCCTTGACCCGTTCAGCTTCGGCTTCTTGCTCGCCCTTCGCATCCATCTAAGCATCTACCTTTCCGACCGAGACCTGCCATATTCGTGATCAAGAAAGAAGGAAAGACTAAAATAGGTTTCCTCGCAACGAACTCTAGAAGCCTGATGGAACCACTGCCTACAGACTCGGGATGCCACACCGCACTGGACGACGCCGGGCATATGGCTTCCTTTCTTTTAAAAGAACGGATGGACGAACCGCAAAACAAATAACATCGGAGCTGAGTGGGCCAGATCCAAGGACCGAGGTTGCGAATCGTCCCTGTCATACTCTTACTATCATTCTTAGTGCTTTTCTGTTCGAGAAAAGTACCGACCAGACAGGAGCAGAAACCGGCATGACGCCCATCGTTCATGCATCCAGGAGGCGCAGGCAGGCTTGAAACCACTGCTTTTTTCAGCTGCACATTGCGGTCCTGCGTCTGCAAATGCTGCAGAAAGAAGAAAGGCATTCGAAATCGAGACAGCCTGTCAAACGCACAGCAAGATGACACCGTGTCAGTCGCTCGCGACTCTTAGCCTCACGGCTCCTTCACTAGACAAGCAGTGTAACCGTCTTGCGCCAACTTGGCTCACCGTTCGGAGTGTCTGCGTTTGTGACAGCGCAACTTGAAGGTTCATGCACACCTGATTTGATCGGCTTCCCGACCTAAATCAGCATTGATGAGCCTGTCGGCGGCCCGTGTGCTCGTAAAAATCGGCGCCATCGTCAACAACAAACGAGTGGCATGTCAGAGAGCACCACCCCTCCTTTTTCCCTCCGGTGTGCCTCTGTCAACTTCGTTTTTGAATTTGACATTGTCAGTGTCTGCACCCCAGAGACAACGACAGGGACCAATCTCAGGAGCAGGGTCGCGCTTGACCGCATCAAGAAGGCCCACATGCCCGTTCGGAGAGCGGTTGAGCGGGATGTGGAATAGGGGAAGCCAAAAAGAAAAACAAGATATCGACTCGGGCGCGTGCTACGGTGGTCCCCGGCCCATCCAGGAATTCCTACATCCTTCAATCCGTATCCCTGACCCCGTTTCCCCATGATTGTCGCCTCTCTTCGGCTTCGGACGCGGACATTGGAGGGTGGAACGGACCTCTTGAACCCTGCGATGCTCCAAGCCACACAGCAACTCGTCATCATCAACTTTTACGACCGCGCTATCCGTTCATCACATCCGATGTCTTCAGCGGGCTTGTTTGGTTTCAAACGATATACACGAGTACAGGTGTCCATTGTATCATCGGACGGGATATAAATTTCCTGACCAAAAACTGGAAATCAATTCAAATATCTGCAGTTCCGATACCCTTGAGTAACCCATACGGATACACAGTACCGGCCTTGGGACGCTGAGCCTCCCGACGGCCCTCGCTGCGGCCCGTACGCGTTATTAAGGGATTGTTGTTCGCGAAGCATAATGCCTGCGCCTAAGTCTCAAAGTTGACACCGGTTGCCAGATTTCTGGAACCTTTCATCATCCAGCTGAACCCGCCAGCGGTACATCGCCAAGGATCCCGTGCTCTCCTAGTCTAGTCGATGTGAGACCGCTTCACTGCCGATTCGCTGCCGATCTTCTCTGTGTCACCAAACTGCGAGTCTACGAGGGGCGCAAGTCCGTTCTTGAAAGTATGCGCCCTTCGACCCTCTTCGACACGCATTCTGTCGCCATCTCCCTTGTGTAAGTTCAACTACAGATACCCGCAACTAGACTCGTCGAACCTCCAAATCAAAAGTCTAGTCGCCGTGGCACGTCTGCGTCAAGATCTGGCCGCATCAGACGCGGATTCGACGCTGTCGGTCAGGCGCGGCCGCCTGGCCGCGCTGTCAGCAGAAAAGGGGTCTTAGCCGCCCGCGTGCAGACAGGCCTGACAATGACTTGGGACCGGATGCCAACGCCATTACAGGGCGGCTTGCCTTCAAGCATGTCGAATGTAAAGACGCAGCTCACAGAATCCGCCGCATAGAACAAAGGCTGCCAAAGCAGCGGGGGATTGTGGCTGAACTGAGGTCTGCACCGCCTTGAGCTGGTCCATGCTCTTCATTTCCCCATGCCTGCGACACGTGGGAGGACAGGATGCGATTTCATGAGGATCGCCCCCTCTAGGGAGTTCCGGCAATACCTAGCTTCAGCTCGGCTTGTTCCTGACCTTGTCCAAAAGAGACCTTGGCTCGTCCCAGGAACAGCGAAGACAAGACACGCCGCGCGACGGATGGGAACATTGATCCACCGTCGTTCGGGGCTGTTCTCGACGCTCCGCCTGCGCGCCAAGTTTTGCTAGCAATAAAGTGCGTGACGCGCAGAAAACGTACACGACGTTTCTCCTTGCGAACTAGATTGATGGACCCTTCTGCAGGAACCGTCGTTCGAAGCCTCCGATGCACAGTCCATGACCCCGTTGCTGTCATCAAAATCAGGGGCTTGTCTCTACTAATCTAGCCCTGCTGGGTTGAAATGGTCACGAGCAGAGCGTTCTTGGCTGGTAGGCAAGGAACAAGATTTCCACTATTGACTGTAGCTCGGATTTCTTGCTGACTTTCCAGCCCGGCTCCGGTCAATGTCAACGGCCACCGTCCTTCTTTTGATCCGATGGTGTTGCTATATTGGGAAATCATTTCCCCCTTTAGCCCCCTTCCCCATTGTGATAGCTAGAGAGGAAGGGCCTCTCTATTCCACACCAGGATGGCTTAACTGGTAACGACGTCTATCATTGTCAAGTTGTCAGTGTCAGATCCCGAGGTGCTTCTGTCGTCGTTAATGAGCCAATCGAATTACGCCAAGCCATGGCTGCCCTTGCGGATCTGCCTCCCGCGATGCTGTCTGTGCGATGCGAGAAATGAACTGGACAACATCAAAGCACCACCCACACGATACAAGATCCAGTCCAAGATCGAGATCATCCCGTATTCTAGTACAGCGCAGCAGCCATTTAGCAGTATTTTCGCCCAATCGGCGACTATTCCATGGGATGGTCGGATTCATGAAAAGGACACAGCCCGTATCCTTAGCAAGATCATCAGTTAGTCGTTCTTTACGCTCTGCCTTGCAAACCGCTAGATCTACGAATAGACATACTTATCAAACCACGATCCTCTAGAAGGGACACATGATTCACTCGTCTCGTTTAGCCTCTTCAAACAAGCTCATGGGACTGACTCGCTATCTAGTTCGTATCGTTGGCTGGCGGCCTGATGGGTGAGATTGCGACTACCGAGAGTCCTGATCCTAATTCTAGGCTTCCTGATGATCCATCGACTCGGTTCAACTTACACGGCCTGTCGCCTCGCTTGTTCAATGGCAGGTGACATGTCCACAACAGAAACGAAACTAGACGACTTTCTCATGTTGAACAGCGCCATCACAAATGTTTCAGTCACGATCTGCCACAGCTACACGGCATTCCCGCCCTCTCTCCTCGAGGTACAGGAGTACAGGGTACGGGAGCACAGAAACCGCCATTGTCGGTGTGCAAACCCATCTGCAGGCGTCCGACGTCAAAGCTCTCTTCGACAGCTGTCACTTCCCGCGCCCTACCCCCGGAGAACCCTGTAGGAGGGGGCCTTCCTTAATCTCCGCCGACGTCGCCGCATTTCTTGCGCCAACGTAGATCTCTTGACGAGGCCTGGCTGAGAGTTGTACGTCAGACTGCTCGGCTGTAGCTCAGTAGGAAGCCCTCACGCAACAGTGGACTGACAAGCAAGCTTCCGTATCCGTACAGCACGGATAGTATATCATGAACTCTCTTGTAAAAACGGGTGGCTGGGAGGAGAGATCCACAACTCTGAAGCAAAGCGCGAGCAGGGATATCGGCCATTTTTTGAGAGCAACGGCTGGCTTCTTCTACTTCATGTGGAGCACCCAGGGGGGAAACAATCGTAGATCTTTTCCAGCACCCATAAATTCTTACGCCTCCTCGGCCGGTCGCCATTTACTGCGGCGGGGTACTCGAACCTAGTGCACAAACGGTCAGCCCACCCCGACCCGGCGGGGCCCCTCCGAGGACTCGGGAGAAGAGGACTCGGAGTGGTTGGCTTACATGGCCTGAGTGGGGGGGGGGGGGGGAAGCTGCTCTCTGAATCCGAATCTGCTTACGGAGTATCCGTAGTGCTCACATCTCAAGAAGGCTCAGGCTCGTCGCAGATAGCGAATGTCGAAATGACGATGGTCAGAAATTCTGTTACGTGTGGCAGAAAATCCTAGAGCCTTGGGGGGGGGGGGGGGCTCTTGATCGGCGACATGGGTTCAGTCGGGTGACAAGCCAGGCTTTGACAGGGGCGGAAAGAGGGAGGAGGAGGAGGAGGAGGAGGAAGAGATTCTGTTTCCGGCCCCTCGTCCCTAATAATGTGTCGTGTGAATTTGTGGCCAGCGGCATTTTGGTCTTCCAGACATAGTACAAATGGACTAGATTCAACCCGCCAGAGTAGACAGAGACGTCGCGCAAGCAAAGGTTGACCCTGGTCTAAACGGATGTGACCTCGCCTCCTTCAAAGTATCTAAGACTCCCCTCCTAGAGGTTACCGAGATGACGGAAACGACGAAACGGGAGAACAGAACGGAATGGAGGAAGGACTTGCGACATTGAGGGAACAAGCAACCGGGCGAGGTGACGCTGTTTGACGGGGTACAAAGATTGGCGATCTGGTGACTGAGACAAAGAAGCTGTTCAGTTATCCCTGCTCGCCGGTCCTTCTCCTACTTGCCTTTTTGTTGTTGTTCAAGAACATGTTGTTTGTTTCTCGTTGTTTTGTTTCCATCCTTTGCTCGTGGAAGATGGCATCAGGGGGTGGTCATGAGATCTCTCGCCTTTGACATTTTCAGCGTGGTATGATTCCCGAGGTTCCGAGCAGGTGGAGATGTGAGAAATCGGGACCTTGGCCATCAAAGCCATACGACTCAAATCTTTTTTCCAGAACATGGTCGGGTTGGCGTATCAATGGGGGGTAAGGGAAGTCACCCTCTTCAAGAGACTTTACTGTAGAGCAAGTGATGTTGTGACAATTCGTGTCAGCTGTCGAGACAGGTAAGCGTGCTGGCGTAATCATTCTGACCGGAATAGAGGATCAGGTTTCCACTGAGACTGGGACGGGGCTTGAGATACGTTTTCTTTGAGGGGTTCAATGTTGCAGTCAGGTTTCGGGAAGTCCAGATCGAGGATGAAAGACTTCATCGTTGCCATGCTTTATGGGTGATGTCAGATATACTCGGAGAACACGAGGCTGCTCAAGCCGGGCCAAACTCGCTTTGCTCGGTTGGAAAAGGGAAGCAGTGATTGATGTGTCGAATCCAAACGTGGCCCAGCTTCTTGCATGTGTCGAAGCCAGCTTTTGGTTAGAGATGTGCGTAGAGCAAGGAGAAAGAAAGGCCTTCGTCCTTGGCCGGGTCTCAGAGTCCGACCATTCTGGAGAGGCTGGGCTGGCACTCAGGAAACAAGCCTTCACGTCTAATTCTCGTATTGTTATATGTAGTAGATTGACGGTCTCGAAACGTAAAAAGGGGGTATCTAACAACTATAGAAAGCTCAATAAATCAAAAACCACCTCACACATTTCCAAACGCCGAACCGTCACCACGCTCACCGCCGCTCCTGCGAATCCCATTCTTCCTCACCCACGTCCACCACCCCATGAAAGACTGTATCAACCCCAAATCATTGTCACGCTGGTACTGGTGCGGCGGTTGCTGCTGGTGCCGCGGCGAACGTGTCGGAGGGGGTCGACGGCCCGTCAACCGCCTCTTCCTCCTGGGTCTCGTCTCCGTCGTGGGCATGATGACGGCGGCCGGGGTAAACTGCTCATCCGCAACGGCGTCCGTGAACAGTCGAAACGGCCAGGCGAGCGCGGCGAAGGTGTGTCTCGCGAGCGAGTACCCCGCGCGCGTCTGCAGGAGGATGAGAGCCACGATGAAGGGTACGCAGACGCAGACCATTGTCACGGGGAATCTCCAGTCCTCTGGTGAGATTGTAAACTCTGTTATACCAAAGACTGACTGCAAGAGGTTTGATGTATCAGTATAAGAACGTTGAGGAGAAATAAGAGGTAGGTGGAATTGCAACTTACAGTCACAAAGGTCAGGGGCAAAAACACCATGGACCCCAACGTCAGGACCTTGATGTTGTCCCCCTGCTCGATTGCCCTCCTCGACTCCTTGATGGAGCTCCCGCTGAAGAGCTGGTCCCGCAGATTCTCAATCTCCTTGCGCGTTGCCGCATTCTTGGCGTGCACCGTCTCCAGGTCCCGACACGCGCGCTCAAGGTCGGACCGCAGGAGCACCATCTTGTCGCGGTACGCCGCGCCCTCGGGGCTCTCCGGCGCCGGGTGCGGCCACAGCGTCTGGTGCCTCCCCTCCCAGAAGTCGTCGGGAAACGTCTCACGGTAGGCGGCCAGCATGGCGCGCAGGCCCTCGTTGACGACGCCCAGCGTGTTGTAGGCCCAAAAGTACCGCCGGATGTAGGTGAAGTGCTTGTCCTCGAAGAGGAGCTTGTCGCGCAGGCGGGCGTCGAACATGAAGTCCGTCGGCGGGGTGATGAGCTTCGCGATGCGGGCGTGGAGGGCCAGGTTGCGCTTCGTCGCGTCGCGGTACTCGGTCACCAGGGCGTCCAGGAAGGCGTAGGGTCCCGAGGGGAAGTTCTTGTGCGCCTCGGCGTCGCCGCCGCGGAGGGTGTGTTCGTCGTCTGGGAAGGACTGGATCGAAAGCAGGTGCCACGGCGCGAACGTGTCGAAGAGGAAGCCTTCTTGCGGGCCCTCGCGGCGGCGGGTCTGCTTCACGGATTGGCGTGGCGGGCCGGAGAGGGAGAGGGCGAGGATGGAGCTGCATTCTGCAATGTCGATGTGGTCCTTTGAGCGGCGGTCCGCGGGGCGTTTATCGTACTTTTGAAAGGGAGCTGGTTCGAGGCCCTCGCCTACGACTGTGTAGTACTTGAAAACGAAGAAGAAGCTGCGCTGGCGGAGATGCGAGGGCGAAGCATCCTTCGCAAAGGCTCGATGGACGTGGGCCGTCGTCTTGCCGTTGTTCCCATGGTCTGTGATGAGATGGTTGAGGAGCTCCGTCATGTCGAAGTATGGGCGCATCGTCATATGTAGCGCGCCGAGCATGAGAGCTGACGGTTCTTGTAGGATCGTTACGAGACCTACGGCCTGGCCATCGGCGTGAATCTCTTTGAGGGCGTTCCACACCGTCGGGGCGTCGACGATCTGAGTAGGAGTTGGAGCTGCGTCGGCTGCGGCGCCTCGAGGACGGCGGTCTGGGTGTTTGCCCACGGGTCTAGGTGACCCTTCCTTGTCGACATCGTACAGCTCAAAGGTTGAACTGACGTACCCCTGGCTTTCATATGCAGCGAATTCCTCGAATACCGCATCCTCGTCAATGTCGGCTTGCCGTTTGATCACATCGGTGAGCGCAATAGCGGCGCCACCGGTGAAGTCAGTGTACTTGAGATGGCGTAGCAGTTGATTGTCCGTCCATGATACGCGCTCAACTAGTTTCGTGGGAGGGCTTGTGAGGGTCCCATCTGAACTGTTGACACTTCGAGGGCCTGCAATGTCAAGTAAGGGAAGATACTCGACGTCTAGCTCAGAGTGAATGGAGGCCGGTACGTGCTTTCTCTCAACGACGCTGGACAGTGTCCGCTTCTCGATAGGGTCTGAAAAGGTTGAGCGGCGGGCACGGCGAAGAGCAGGCTGAAAGGTTGCTTCCGATGAAAGCGGTGGACTCTGCCCTGGACTCTGGACGGGGCTTGGAGAAGGTTGTAGGAGGGGGGATGGCTGGCGAGCGTTGTTTGTTGTCTTGGTATCTGATCTGTCTCTCACGGCACTAGCCAGGGAGTCATGTAGACTTCGTAAGTTACGGAGGTATTGGTCGTGGCTTGCCTCGACTGCTTTGAGCAGCTCCTCAGGGCTCCGGGTTGCCATAGCAGGGACCAAAACAAGTCTGTCAAATCAAGTATATTTTAAGAAAGATTTAGCAGGTGACTATGTAAAGATGATGAATCAAGAAAAGAGAATCAACTGGGCAGCTCGCTCCTAGAACAGCGGCCCTTTTCTACTCACTAACATGCACAGCCTGCCTTGCCCTGGACCTCCGACAAGACATCCGAAATCAGGATACTGTGCCATCGGCAATCTCCAGCTACACCACAATCACTAGCCTAGGCAGCCAGGACGTTCCCCTCACTCCAGAAGATCGACCCCAAATGCGGCTGAGCTGCGGAGCCTAGGGACTCAAAGGTACGGCGCGGTGTCTTCGGTGTGTGCGAGCATGTGCGCGGGAGAGATGAAGGCCGGCAAGTGATAGTCCCGTCTCGAGGTGACTTCATGGGTCCGGGGGGTGCGTGCGTGCGAACATCGGCCGACATCACCGAACCCAAGCTTTTCGGCCACTGGACCGGATTGGTGGGTACGGATGTGTTCCCCGTATGCATCTCTGTGCGCCCCGAATGTGTGGTGTGACGCAGGGAGACGGGACTTGAGAATGCATGCCGGGAAAAAGGGAGCGAATGAAAGGGGGGTGGGGGGCAGAGTAAAGAAGATACAACGTGGGGTTGGAGCTGGAGGAGTCACCGAGGTGAGGTTAGTTTTGAGCATGAGTCGTCGGAGTCGATTAGCGATCACCAAGAAAGCAGGGCTGTCGATGGGGTGTCGTCCGGCGCCGGCCACTAGGAGCGGCTTTTCGCGGCCTACGGCGTGTGATCGTGTGAGTTGTAGTCGAAAGTTGATTGGCGATGACTGCTGCCTTGGCGGTTGTCAATGGCGTTGTGCTGCTGACAGATGAATGCCGCCAAGGAGAATTCACGTGCGTTAAGATGCAATTATTCAAACCCAACCTGAGGAGGCGGGGGGGGGGGGGGGGGGGGAAAGGGGGGGGGGGGGGGGCACGTGGTAGGTGGGGGGGTGCACGAGAAGAAATAGCGAGCGAAAAGGGGTGCTGGGGAGCATGGAGAGGGGGGGGGGGGGGGGGGGGGGGGGGGGGGGGGGGGTGGACAAGGGGCGCGGGAGAGGCATCTGGTTGCTGGGGTGCCTTAGTGTGGTCTGAAGAGAATGGAATTCGCAAGCCCGTTTGAAAATGTCTCAATCTCAGTCGCATGATGCAGAAGAAAACGCTAGATCGTGTCGTCGGGATTCGTTTCATGGAGCTTGGCATTCACTTTTTTTTTTCTTCCTCTCCCGCCGCGGGGTTGGAACTAATACTACAAACCTTGAAAGTAGAAAAATGGTTACTCGCTTCGACACGCATCTAGGTCAACAGGAAGAGGTCCAATAGGCACACAGGAAAAGGTATCTTTTGCATCTAATTACTAGGATCAAGTCCCTTCTGCACTTGGTCCCTTTCCAAACCACATCATCTATACTGAATAGTTCGGGTACCTTATGCAATCATCATCCAGGTCGTATTCTTCGTGTAAACCACCATCCTGCGCAATTCTAGTCGAATAACTTCTGGGTCGGCAAAACAATGGGGGTATGGGCAAAAGCGTCAAAACATCTCTCGACAGGCGTCACCTAGTGAGTAGCGACCTCCTAGGCCTTGCCGGCAACAGCGACGGGCTTGTCACCGGTGTCGACGTCCATGGCGTCGTCATCGGCAGCCTCAGCCTCGCCCTCGCCCTCCTCCTCCAGCTCGTCCTCGCTCTCGCCCTCGATATCAACACTGCCGTCATCCGACATCTCGTCCTCCTCCGCAGGAACGGCCTCACCCTCGCCGTTCTCAACACCGGCCATCTCGAGATCCTCACCGGCGGGCTTCTCGCCGTTGGCACCACTAGCCTCGGCCTCTTCCTCCTCGTCACGCTCCTCAGCACCGTACTCATCCTCGTCAGGCACGAGGTCAGCCTCGGGCTGCTCAGGGGGAAACTCGGCGGGGGCGGCGGCATCGTTGTCCCTAAGGCTCCCAGTTAGCTCCACTATTCTGTCGCCTCTTGTTTTCCCCTCATGTCTACGAAAACGTACCACTTGATCGCGAAGCGGGTCACACGAGGCTTCTCAGCGAGAACGTTGCGCTTGACTCGCTCGATGATGGGCTTGGAGGGGGGCTCGGCGTTGAGCTCCTCAGAGTCGTACTCATTGTTGACATAGTAGCCAACGCGAACGAACTCGCGACCGTCGTAAGCGCAGGTCAGGAGGATCACAGTGACACCCAGAATGTCGGCGTCGGGAATTCTGGAAGTGTTGGGCGCATCGGCCTCGAAGATGAACTTGTTGACACCGACGGGAACGGGCCCGACGAGAAGACTGTCGAGCTCTTGGTCGTACTGATCACTGTTGTCTGGCTGTCAGCGAATGGCGGTGAACGTGGTGAAAAATTCCACGTTGAACTAACCTAGTCGCAGAACCAACGTAGGTCAACTTCCACTCGAGATCTGATTAAAAGTTGATTAGAAAAACGTGAGATCATGGCTGTCTTCCGAATGGATTCTTTACCCTTCTCCAAGGACTCCAAGCACTCGAAGGTGATCTCGAACTCGTACTTGTCCGTGAACTTGGCGGGGTTGTTCAGAACCTTAACGCCCAGAAGCGAGACGATCGACATCGTGAAAGGTGGGCGATGAAGTCTTGGTTGAGTATGTGGTAATGGTTGTAGAGGGAAAATCTGCGCGACTGCGAGCAAAGGAAAGCTGGGAAAAAATTCGTTGCGTGAACGTCGGTCTGAAGTGGTGGGTGGAGTTGGTGTATTGAGAAGGTGGGATTGTTTTGCGGCGAGCGAGATGGAAGAAGAAGGCTCGGCTCGTCAATTGCAACGGGACAACGACGTGGGCCTGGGACGCGCCTGCCTTCCCCTTACCGCGAATTTCGCGTAAAGTGGTCTTCAAGTCAAGGCTAGCCCTTTTCGGCTCTCGCGCCCGTCCGTGTGCCTGTCAAGTTCCTGTCCACCTTCCCAGCCACACAAAGCGAGGCTTGGAGATGGCTGATGCCTTTCATTCTTATTCTACCTGCCTTACCTACTTTACCTAACCCGACGGATACTTCACTTAGATGGAAAGACCCTATGTAGCTAGAATGTGCCAGTATAGTCAAAACATTGAGGCCGACATAAGTTTTTGATCTTCTTGAACGCCGAAATATGCATACCTAGGTAAGGTACGGAGTACCTAGGTCAAAGTGGAAGTCGGGCAGGTGCCAGACACTCCTTATCCGATAAGATTGTCTTATCCGTCGGAGCTCGATTCAGCCGAACTTTTGCCAGGTCACCGCCAAACCACGCTAGCCTGGTTTCGGCGTCTACTTTCCTCCAATCTTTCACATTGCCAACAAGCTGCAACCTTCCAATTTTGCGACCCGTTCCGTCTTACAGGTAGCCAACATCATCAGGCTTCACTGTCCCGCGCAGCCATCAGCGACCTTCGATAGCCGACTACGAACGACTGGACTCTTTCAAAACTTTCTTTCGCGACCGTTTATCGATCTTCTACGAGCCGGAACACGCCTTCCTCGCCCGGAATACCCAGTGTCTTCGCGCCTAGGGCGACCTGATAGCTCATAGCTACCACGACAAGCGCCACACGGCGAAGTCAATTGATATTGAGGTTCTCAGTTAAGAGCTTCGTATTGTGATCATTGCGAGAAACTACAACACAGATTCTTCGGAGCGCCCATCATCGCAATGGATCCCGAAGTCCCGCAGAACGACCAACAATTCGAGGGTGCGTCTTGGGGAGAAGATGGATATGAAGAAACAAATGATATACAGCATAGCGACGAACAAAGTCAAGATCCTGCCTTCCCACTTGAACAAGCTGCGAATGGTGACTCAGAAGATGCTGGCGAATATGACCCAGAGTCGGTCGCGATAACTTCAGTTCCAGAGACCGCAGAGCCCAATCCCCCCGCCGAATCAACCCCAACTCCTACCGCTTCCACATCCATCAAGTCGAAATCAGGCAAACCCAAAACACAGGGAGGTTTCCTAGTGGGAGACTCCGATGACGAGGAGGAAGATGCGCCTACTCCAGCATCGAACGCTGTTCCTGCTGTTTCTGCCACGCAGACTCCCATTGCACAAAACCCTCCTTTCCCTTCTGCATCTACTCCTGTCCAAGGCCAAGTGAGCGCCACTCCAGAGCAGGCGAGCCAGGGTGTCCCCGTGCGAGCGCCAAGTGCGGCATCGAGTACGGCGCAGGCGCCACCCCCTCCAGCAGTGCAGTCTGTTTCCAGCAGAGACCCGAACGATACTTTTGGCATCTTGGAGGACCGCGTGCAGGAGGATCCAAGAGGGGATATGGATGCGTGGCTCGCATTGTTCGCCGAGCATCGACGCTATGACCAGTTGGATGAGTTGCGCGCTGCCTATGAGCGATTCCTCCAGGTTTTCCCCCAGGCTGTAAGTGGAATTCTGCTTGTGTACAGCGAGGTTTCAAGCTAACGCAAATTTAGGCCGATATCTGGGCCGACTGGGCACAGCTCGAGTTGGACTCCAACCGCTTCCAGGACGCCGAAGCGCTTTTCAGCAGGTCCTTGGTCAATGTGCCCAATGTTAAGCTTTGGACCGTATACCTCAACTACATCCGCAGACGATACGATTTAAACAACGATCCCAACGGGGAGTCTCGCCGAATCTTGAGCATGTCCTACGATTTTGTGATTGCTTCTGTTGGCATTGATCGTGACTCGGGTCAACTGTGGAAGGACTACATCCAGTTTATCAAGAGTGGCCCAGGCCAGGTTGGAGGCAGCGGTTGGCAGGATCAGCAGAAGATGGACCAGTTGCGCAAGGCCTACCATCGGGCCATCACAGTTCCCATGTTTGCGCTTACAGACCTGTGGAAGGACTACGACCAGTTCGAAATGAGCCTGAACAAAACGACTGTAAGTTACTTGTTCTTCGGTAGATTGCTATTGCTGACAACACGGTAAGGGCCGCCAATTCATCCAGAAACGCTCGCCTGCCTACATGACAGCCAAGGCAGCAAATTCTCAGCTTGATCGCTTGATTCCCAGGCTCTCGCGAACTTCGCTTCCTCGCCTGCCTCCTGCACCCGGCTTCCATGGTGACCAGGAATTCATGGAGCAGGTTGATATCTGGAAGAAGTGGATTCAGTGGGAGAAGGAGGATCCGTTGGTTCTCCTGGACGAAGAGCCTGAAGCCTACAAAACTCGCGTGCTGTATTGCTATAGGCAAGCGTTGATGGCTCTTCGTTTCTGGCCCGAGATGTGGGTGGACGCAGCAGAGTGGTGCTTTGCCAACAACATTGCAAAAGATGGCAAGGAGCTGGGCCTGTCTTTTCTGACAGACGGCATCGAGGCCAATCCCGAAAGTGTATTGCTTGCGCTTAGACATGGAGACCGTGTGGAAACGACCTACCCGGCCGGAGACGATGATGCTAGCAAGGCTGCCCGCGCCAAGGCAATCAGGGAGCCCTACAGCCTCGTTCTCGACACTTTGTACGCCATGTCCAAGAAGCTCAAGGAGCGGGAGGAAAAAGAGGTTCGTAAGATCGAAGAAGCTTCGGCCCAGGACCCGAACATCAAGGACTCAATCGAGCGGAACGATGACGATAACGATGGCGACAATCAGCCCGGTGAACTTGGAAAGGAAGAGCGCATCAACGCCGTGAAGCAGGGATTCTCGGTACAGACAGATATGCTCAAGCGCACTATTTCGTTCGTGTGGATTGCGCTTTGTCGGGCTGCTAGGAGGACACAAGGCAAGGGCAACACGACTTCGGGTCTTCGTCAAGTCTTTATCGAGGCCCGAGGTCGTGGCCAGCTCACCAGCGATGTCTATATCGCCGTTGCGAAGATGGAAGCTCTCATCTACAACGACCCAGCCGGCGGTAAGATCTTTGACCGCGGTGCAAAGCTTTTCCCCGAGGATGCTAGCTTCATGCTCGAGTACCTCAAGTTCTTGCACTCCAAGGGTGACACAACAAGTGAGCTCCCCCTTCTTTCATACCCAATGAATTCATACTGATCCATGCATAGATGCCCGTGTTGTCTTCGAGACTTGCGTCAACCGCCTCACACAGAAAGAAGATAAGAAGGACCAGGCGAAGCAACTATACTCATACTTCCACAAGTACGAATCGCAATTTGGAGAGCTCTCCTCCATTGCTGAGCTGGAGAAGCGCATGTCGGAACTCTGGCCCGCTGATCCCAGACTTTCACACTTTGCAAACCGTTTCTCAGTAGACACATTCGACCCCATAGCCTACCGCCTTATCATCTCGCCGGCTGTTCAACTGCGACCAAAGATGCTGATTCCGACCATCGAGCAGCCGACCTCAGTTCGGCAATCCCCAATGGCCTTGCCGGTTCGTCAGACGGCCAGCCCGGGCCCACAGTACATGGGCGTTACAAACTCTCCAAAGAGACCCTTTGCAGGCGACGATTATGAAGAGCTCAACAGGCCACGAAAGCTCGCCAGGGGAGAATCCCCTCTTAAGGGTGCCGCGGGCCGTCGTCTTGACCAGCAAAGACGCAACCAAGGAGCGCCTCTTTCCCGAGACATCACTTTCCTCTTGGGTATCCTACCACCGGCTCACTCTTATGCTCACTCGCCCAACGCATTCCGCTTGAGCGCTCCTAATCTCGTTGGCCTGATTCGCGACACCCCTGTGCCTGATTACAGCGCATGGAAAACCCAACAAGAGCTCGGCGCTCGACAAAACAACGGTATGCAACCCCCTTCCCACAGCCGACAGGCATCTGGTGACTACGCTGGGTACGGAAATGGTGGACGAAACTCCCCCCAGAGAGCCCTCAGTCCATACGAAGGATCGGGTAGGCGCCTGGCATCATCCGGATACAGGAGCTCTCCCCTCCGACCTGGCTCCAGTGGCGGACATGTCGACGCTTCTGCATACCGACAGGACGTGCCCCAGCAGGGGCAATATCCATCAGCGGCTTCGTTTGACGCGAGCGCTTCTTGGGCACCTGCTAGCTACAGCCAAGCACCAGCACAGCAATATGGCAAATATCAGTATTGATCTTGGAGCTGACGATTGGATTCAGGGGCTGGTTTCCGAAGGGGTTGGCCCTAATTTCGATGTCTATCACAGACTCGGCCGACTACATTAGTCGGTATCTGGTGGCTCATCAAACGTCGGGATAATGCCCAGCACGCTGTGTTGGGACCTTCCTTTTGATATTGAGCTTTAGTTCATGATTTCGAGGGCAATGATTCTCTCACGTTCCTCAAAGGGACATTGGTCGCAAAGTCTGCGACATTAGTGTTCTGTATAATACAAAAAGTCTTCAAGGGGCTCCGCATTACTGGAGGCGTTCAGGGCGGCGGCGGCGGATACTTCACTCGTGCGGCTCACAGAAGTAGCACACACTTTTTTTTCGTCAAAAAGCATACGCCACGGCATCACGTTCGATGGCTAGTCCACCCGATTTGGGGGATGGGGATGAATGGCAGACGGCTACATGGGATGCCACGTTGAGGTTTCATCTAGTTTGCTTGGCTAGCCGCTTGAGTAATTCAAAGAAATCTGCTTTCGACTTGCCACTTTCTCTAACTGTATGGGCTATAAGAAGGGGACTCCTCCTACGTTGACCGGCATCCTATTTGGTCACCCGCTTGTGCACTTGTGACATACCTTGATCAAGACACACGCGCAATACTACCGTGTGAAGCTCCGGATAACCGTCCTCCAACAGGTCTGAGGCTTGGGTTCTCATCCCAAGGTATGTTGCCCTTGTCAAGGAGTAATCTCGCAGTAAGGAAAGCGATAGATGGCTCAAACCCGATGGCACCAACCCGACACTGTGAAATCAAATCAAAGCCCACTGGACCAGAACAGCTTGTCCAAGACCCTTTACGTATAATTCTTTCCCTAGAGCAGTGATGAAGGTTCCACTCTGATATCTATCGTCCCTAGAACAACCGTATAGTGAGCAGCAAGCGAAGTTCGGGTTAAACAAACATCTCAGCTATCTTAGCACCTTATATTAGTAAAGTAGGTTGCCACTCAACACCCTAGCTCTGTTCTTCTTCTTATTACTCTTTTTATGACTAGTCCTATCACTATTCCTGTTGTCCCTTCTCATTTTTTGTATGTTCCTTAGAGGATACGCTTTTGAATACAGGAATGTTATTGGAATAAACGTGTTGCTAGGCCCTGATTGTTGAGTGATGCTTGTGTTCATTCATCTCTTTTCTTGACCTGTGAACATAAGTCATGCTTGTAGACACAATCGCGCATGCCATCACCTACAGACAATCTGATGGCTCATAGCTTGACAAGCACATTCTGTTGTCCATGGATCGATCTGTCGCCCTCATGTCGGCTTGTAAACTTTGTCGTAAGCCAGACTTTGTGGAGCTGGCGGTCCTGGTGACGCCCATGGCGATTACGCGCTGGCAAACCCCTCCCGGGAGAGGGACCTTCCTAGTATGTTCATCGAATAATGAAGCGAGACTCTGGCTGGCAACCAACCAGAGACATGGAGGTCATGTCGGCCACTAGCACTGGTCGACTAATGAGCTTCGTGATAGGTGGAAAGCAGGGTGGTTTCACACATGGGATGCTGGAGGCTTTGAACGTGACTGTCTCTTTGTTTTCGGTATCATCATCATGAGGCGGCGGCATTCATGAATGAGACGAGTAAGCTCATGCCTCGCGGTCGAGCCTTCTGTTAGAAAAAAAAATGAGTCGGTGACACCTTCTAGGCCACGAATATTCGGTCAATTCGAGGTCTACATGTTGCGCTCTTTTGACTGTAGACTGCGTATGAACGTGCGGATTGCCCGAGAGTCTAGCGCCCTTGTTATTTTCTTCGAAGCCTTGAGCGTTCTCTACTGGGCTCCTGATCTCCGGTGTCTGGAATATCTCGGTATGGTTATTACATGGTAGCATCATTTACGAGTCTGGCTCTGATGTTCATAGCTATGCCGTAGCTTATTATTGGCGACGTACGTAGACTGAGTGGCATATGCCAATTCCATCATTTGCTGAATATTATCACCCGTGTATTCTATGCCATTCTGCTATCACGCTGCGTCGTGAATAAGGCGTTCATGCCGGCGTTCTCACCGCCTTGATGTCCACCTGGCAGGAGCGAAGCATCGTGATGTTTTCGATAGTGACTTGAATGATTTCACTTTGATATATGCCCGGCCCAAGGTTGAAGATCTCATTATTTGCACCCTCCCGACATCCTAAAGCGAAGTCTCCATATCCTCGATCCTAATATCTCTCACTCTCTGGCAATCGATCCTTCCTGCTGCTTCTGCTGCTGCTCCTTCTCCAGAGCCACACAGCCGATTTCTAGATCACTCCCTCTCTCTGGAGGCTATATAAACCCACCTCTCAACCCTCCAGCCTCCAGATCTTCTTCTTCTCCTCCACACACACTCACATCGCAATCGCATCTTGCTTACCCAAACAAATAATCAATCACAACCACACACTTCACTCAACTTCAACTTTCAACTCAGGTAAGTTTGCAACATATCCATGCTTGACACACCTCACATCTCTGTACAAACACCACCGAGATACAACCACACGTATGATTTTGCTGCCATATCTTCCTTCCCAAACCCACATGCTGCCTCCTTCCTCCTAGTCAAAAGGCTGGAAATATCCTTCAAGGGTTCTACAAAAAGGCCTTTCCCTTCTCTCCGTTCAACTTCTTCTCCTTCTTCTTCTTCCTCCACAAATCACCATACTTTCTACAACCCAGCCTCACTGCCAACCTACTTCAATACAGACAAGGTATCCTGCCCTACCCATACATCTAACCTACCTAAGGTACCTCTCCGAAGGTATCTCTGGACAAAGGAACAAGTTTCCAGCGCTCCTGCTTTCGAAATTCGTTCCTCCTCCTCAAATTCCTTCCTTCCTTCTAGGTCACCCATTCTTGACTACCTCCTTCCTCAAGCGCCTTTGACAGTTGCCGACCTAGGCAGCTACAAAAAGGGCCCTCTTCCTCTCTTCCCTCTTTTTACCTCTTCTTCCTCTTCATCTACCTCTCAACATCGTCTACCTCTCAACCTCGTCTACCTCAGCGAGCATCGTACATACATTCACTGACCACAAACAGCAACATCTGCACAGCAATTCCACAATCTCCACGACTAGACAGGATGTCTTCCGGTTCCCCTAGCCGTGGTGGTCCTGCCAGCCCTGCCAGATCCCGCTCGGGATCTCAGCCTAAGCATGGCTTCGGACCTTCCATGGGGTTCGACCCAGCGAAGCCCGAGGGCGGTGGTCCCAGCAAGGATCACGTCAACTCTCGTATCGACCCGCCCCCAGAGTCGTACCTCAATGCCGGGGAGACTCCCTTCATTCGCAGACCCGGTTACAATACCTCTGGCAAGGTTATCAACTTGGAGGTCAACCAGTTCCGCGTGAAGCAGTGGAACGACAGGATGACCATCTACCAGTACGATGTGTCGATCTCGCCCGTGCCCCTGAAGTACAATGTGGTGTTCAAGAAGGTTTGGGACTCTCCGCCTGTCCAAACCATGCTGGCGAAGTACAAGACCCTCTGGTTGAACGATGGCCGCAAGTTGGCTTGGTACGTCATCCTATTCTGAATGCCTATCTCCTCTAACACAAGTTCAGGTCGTCGGTTCCTATCAACCGTGGCGAGGAGCGCTTGAAGGTTGACCTTGACGAGGGCAAGCCCGTTCGTCCCAATGCAAAGCCGCGCGACAATTCCTTCTTCTTCGTCATGAAGGAGACGAAGAAGATCAACCTGGCGGCTCTTGAGGCATACCTCACCGGCAAGATGGACTGGGACAGCACTGTTCTGGAGTGCATGAACTTCCTCGACCACCTAGTCCGCCAATTCCCTAGCGAGAATCTTCTCTCGATCAAGCGCAATTTCTACAACGAGCGCAATCCGCAGACCATGGATCTTGGCCCCTGCTTGCAGGTCGTCAAGGGTGTCTACTCGTCGGTCCGGATGAACCAATCGGTTATTGACAAGTTTGGTCGAGGGCTCGGTCTGAATGTCGACGTTGCCAACACGGCATTCTGGAAGGGAGACAAGCTGTTGCATCTCTTCGTCAGGGACTTTCTGGGTACCTGCGATCGCAGATGGCAGGGCTTGAGCCCACCGGACATCGCCAAGATCTTGAAGCCAGTGCGCCAGCAGGACAAGAACGGCAAGGCGGTACTCACGATGTCTGATGCTTTCAAGCACCTGAGGAAGCTGGCGAAGCTTCGATTCTGCCCCAAGCACCGCGGCAAGGAGAACTGGGACAAGTCTTACACCATCAAGGGGTTCGCATTCAACCCAACCTACGGTGACAGCGGTGCTACTACTGACAGTATCGTCTTCACGAACAACGGCGAGGAAATGAACATTACGAAGTACTTCGAGAAGACCTACGGTTACAAGGTTCTGTTCCGTGACTGGCCCGTTGTCGAGACCGCAAAGGCGGGCTTCTTCCCCATGGAGGTTTGTGTGGTCGCTGCTATGCAGCGCTACAATTACAAGCTTGACCCTGATCAGACCTCGGCAATGATCAAGGCTGCTGTCACTCGTCCCACCCAGCGCAAGGCGGACATCATCAAGGCGAAGAACCAGTTGGCATGGAAGGAGGACCCCTATCTCCGCCAGTACGGTGTTGTCTTCGAGGACCAGATGGCTAAAACTGTGGGCAGCCTGCTTGAGCCCCCGAAGATTCAGTACGCCAACAATGTGGTCAGCCCCGTCTTCTCTGGTCGCTGGGACTTACGCGGCAAGAAGTTTTGGGTTCCCAACCGTGCTCCTTTAGCATCCTGGGGTATCGTGATTCTCGAGAACTCAACCGACAAAGCCAGTGCTCAGGCCTTTGCACAGACATTCAAGCAGACTTACACTGGCCATGGAGGCAAGATTACTAAAGATGCCGTCGTGATTGACAGCGAGGCCCGTAACAACAATGTTGCTGAAGCAATTGCTAGGGCATATGCCCAGGTCAAGGCGAAGACTAATGCTGTTCCGCAGCTACTCTTCTGCATCTTACGGTTCAACAACGTTGGCTCTT